GTGGTAGAAGAAGTCAACTTATTGGAAGAATCTCTACACATACAGCACGTGTTTGAGAAAAAGAAATTTTTAATTTGAATCGAGACATGGATCCAAGTTCATCACCAATACCAGGTAGACATACATTTAAATATTATTCTATATTACTTTTATATTCAATATTTTCCTACAAATTATGGAAAATTGTATGGTCTCAGTTAACATTTTTTTCATTTTCATGCATTCAAAAAGCTATATTAATTTCTCTTTATCTAAGATTTCGCTTATGCTAACATATAATAATCAATTAAATTTATAAATTATTATTAAATATATCAATTTACTTAATTGGTAAATGACAAATATATTGATTTTTCCTTCTCCATGTTTTCAACTAACTGATAAACTACATTTTTTTTCGAAAATTACTTGACTTATTTCATTCCCATTCATGAATTTATTCAAGCTCAAATTCAAAATGTCCACGCTTCAACATAAGAATGAATTTTTCATGTTAATTAATTACATTTAAAATATTCTTTTTTAAAAAATTTCAAATTTACTTTTAAAACTGTCTCTAAATTATTAAAAAAATTTTTTATAAACATGAACAGCATGTGATAGTTAAGTCCACAAATTCAATTGCGGCAGGAATTTAACTCTTAAAATATTCAATAAGTTGATCTGAATTTTTATGAAAAGCCTAAAATATGGTGAGAATTGGTTCTAAGAGACCATCCATAAATAAGGTGGCACTATTTTTCACCTTTTTCGACTCCCCCCCCTCCCCCATGTTGTACATTTTGCACACATTAGAGCCATTTTTTCTATTGAATGTTGCAAATTCTTGACGTCACTATTGAGTAATTAAAAATAATTAAACAAAATATGCCAGTTTTCAGGTTCAGATTAGTTAATTAAATTTTTTGAAAGTGACAAAATTAACATTGTAGACCTAACAGTTACATGGTGTTAATACGAATGTTAATGTTAAATAAGAAAACTTTTAATTGTACAATTTATAAATGATTGGGGTAAACCATATAGTAGTTGTCGACTTAAGGAAATCTTTACAATTAACACTACATGTAAAAAATGCAATCAAGGTTTTTATTATTTATTTTATTTTATTTATTTATCGTCCTTACGATAATAATAAACTATTAAACCAATCATCTCATATGGTTTTTGTTGCTATTCAAAATTGACTCGCTGCCTTCTGCCTGGTTTTTACCTCAAAAAAGTTTTTTATAATCGATTTCCTGTATGAATATTTAATATAAAATTATTAATCCTTTGGGATTCGATGTTCCTGTTAGATAAAATGAAAATTTGAGTTAAGTTTTGGATAAGTTATCTTTTTATCAAAAATTATTATGGAAAGAATATATTGTATATTTTGTAATGAATTTAAATTTGAAAAATACAATTAATCAAGTACGTTTCTAAGTGAAAGATTCAGTATACAAATTGATAAACCTTAGTGATTGCATTCTTGATAAAGTTGATTAAAAAGTAAATATAATTATTCTTAAATAGGTATATATTTTCTTTTTTTCATAAAAATAAATTAGTCCTTAATTGATTTTTATTTGTTCAATTGCGTTTTTTGTAACATACAATCAAACTGCAAAAATAGGTTCATTATTCTTCAAATAAAATTATTTTTCTTTCCTAGTTGCGTATCTCTATTGAATAGGCAAATTAATATTATACATTTACAATATTTTAGCCTTCTTAGTGTTAATTCTATCTTATTTTGTTCAAATGTAATTCCGGTATACTTATCATACTATATATAATATTCGCAGTTGAGTTTTCATGAGGTCGGATTTTCCTGTCAATACAAAATACTATAAAAAATATTTTGTCAAAAGATAAAATCAGAAAAATGTATTGTTTTTCATTGTTGCCCTCACAACAAAAGGATATTCAGGATATCCTTGGAACGTCCTGGGGATATCGATTTGTTTTTGGCGATTTGGATATCCCTGGGATATCTTACAGATGTCCATGGATATCCAGAGAATATCTTAGGAATATCCGAACCCCCAAAGGAAATGGATATCCCCAGGGCGTTCCAAGGGTATCCTGAATATCCTTGTGTTGTGAAGGTGTATATTTATATTTCTAATGTTTAGGAACTTCACGAAGATCTTTTGAATCACTCTTTGACGATGAGTCTACAATAGATGATGGAAATGATTACTTTCTTCAAAAAGAAGCTGTCCTTGGTAATGAAGAAAACAATGACCATACTTATGCAATACTACGTAAGCTCGCAAAAAATAAAACCGTATATTTATCAGAAAGTTATTATTGAATTACTAAATAAATATTATTTAAACTTTGTAATTATAATGTTTAGGAACTTCAAAAGGAACTTTTGAAACTCAAGATCACCTTATTGGTGAAGGAGCATCCTTCATCTTCGGAGATGAGGAAATTGAGTACCTCTTTCAGGAAGAAGTCGCCATTTCCAATGAGGAAAATGATTTTCCTATTCATGAGGAATCTGTTCCTATCAATAGTGAAAATGATACGCATACTTGCGCAGAACTTAGTAAGTTTATAAGAAATTAAACTATATCTATCAAACTATTTCAGCCAAAATATGCGAAAACAAACACTTGAAAAACTTTTGTCTCCGATTTGCAAGTTATCTATGACATCGTAGATATTTGAGTATACTTTTACCCACAAAAATATTTTCACAATTTTTTTTATTTTCAAGTGATTTTTGTTGTGGAAATTTTGGGTAATTTTATATTCTTTTTCATTATTACTTTAATTATTAATATTAATTATTACTTCATAATTACCCAAAATTTCCACACCATATAAAATAAAAAGTGTGAAAAATATTTTTTAAATCAATTTTTTTTAAATTAAAGAAAAGTCTGTATTTTAAAGATAATATGGAGTAATTGCTACAAAATAAAAATTTCTAGGTGTAGTAGAGAATTCGTTAAAACAATTGCAAATTGAAGTATGTTCTTCATGATTTTGGTATATTAAAATATAATATTTTTATGCGCAAAACTTTACATATTAATTTGAAAAAAGAAAAACCGGTGATCTCAAATGTTATAGAATTTATGTAGATTTTTCTGATAAAATCTTTCGTTTTTTTAGAAACTTTACGTATTCAAGCTGATTTTTAAGACCACGAGTCAATTTTCACCTGCATTTTTTGAAAAAAATTTATATAATTTCTATAATGTTGGAGGTGACTAATTTTTCTTTTTTTAAATTAATCTTTAGAGTTTTGTACATGAAAATATCATAATTTAATCTTTTAAAAACATCGAGAACACGTCTTTAATTTGCAATATTGTTTAAAAAATTGTTAATAATTATTGTAAATTTTTATTTTTTAGCATTGATTCATTTTATCTTTAAATTTAAAATGTAGACTTTAGGCTATAATTTTAGCCAAATTCTATCTACTAGTTTTTATTTATTTCAGATGAATAATGAAAAAACTAGAATGAGTAAAAAGTATTAAAATTAAGAAAAATTTTCTTAAATATTTTAGGAGGGTAAATGAGTATTCATACATCTATAAAAAATTATAGATAACTTGCAAATTTGAGACCAAAAGTTTTTGAAGTGGCTAGTTTACTTATTTCAGGTCATTAACAGAATAGTATGACTATACTGGCGTAGTACTACAAAGATTTGTGTGGTACTGGTAATAGTACTGCACTATTAGTGAACACTGTCAATTGTGATATAGGATATTTTATAATCTTTGCAATATAGTAGTACACTAGGATATTTTTTTAAAATATTCCTAGATATTGCAATTTTAAAGTATGTTATATTTTATTAATTGTCCAACTAATTTACATTGCCCTTTATTATTTAGATCACACATCTTCAGGTCGAATTATAGAAAGTACGAGAGTGAAAGCATATAAAACCTTTGAGCGGTATTTTGGCTCAAATTATCGTTGGCACCGTTCGGGACGTCCGAAAAAACCTCCAAAGAGTGGGAGCAATTACATGTAAATATTGAAAAAATTTCGAATTAAAGCTACCCAACTGTTGGGATTATTATTATTATTGGAAATTTAAACAGATTCTAAAAATTGAATTTATCAAAATTTCAATTGACCTTATTTTTATGATTCACTTTGATTTTGAGTTAACTTCTAATTCAATTGATTCAAATTTTAGTATGTCATTATACTTTCAATTTATGAAAATTTCAAACCATGTAAATGTTTTTTTTATTTAATTGTCAATCAATTCTAATTTTAAATTTACAAATTTAATTAAAGTTTAATGAATTATAATTACAGAAATTATATTGCTTTTTTGTATTATTATAAACACTGAAGATAATTTTCGTTTCACTTAAATTCATATATTTATTATAAATAAAATATACAATTTAACGACATTTATAACGATTGTATAAAGAAGTTGTTAAAATGAAATTTCTCGTTATTGAAAGATAGCTTGAATAAGTGTTCTGTAGAATATAAATTATGTTTAATGTAAACTTACTTATATTAGAGTATTACTAAGCAAATTTTTGAATAAATGGAAATTGGTTTGCACAATTATTTTGCTAAATTAAAATACTTTTCATGGCAGTTCAAATATATACATAAATTCTGTTCAATGAAATAATAATAATATTAATTGATTTTATTGCTAAATAAAAATTATGTCTATAATGATGCGTAAAAATATAGTTGATAAACATTAATTCTACAGTGTTTCTTTAGCGAAAGATTGTACAAATTGTCATTTATTAAAAAAATTGTCTAGAAAATAAGTGAATTTAGATGTTTATAGAATTGAATTCGATTAGCATATGAATTGGCAAAAATTTAAATAGATCTTAATGATTTCTTTTTGTACTTCAATTTTTTCTTCACGTGATTTTGTGACCTGTTTGTTACCTATGTTTGAAAATTAACCTACACTTCTTAATAATTACGTTTTATTATTAAAGAAATGTACTATTATCCCTGTTGTATGTTAACATTTCTTATAATTGCAGATATATGCGATGTGCTTTCCAGTACAAAACCAAATGCACTGGAAGAGGAATTTTGTATGATGACGAGACAGACAAAATTTATATAACAAAAGAACATTTAGCAGAATGTAAATTCAACAAAGATGCTGCTCAACAAAGGAGTGCTCTGCTGAAAAAAAGTGAAGGAAACCCGGAAAATCCACATAAAATTTTCAAAGAAGTGAGAAGAGAGTAAGTGATTATAGGAAAAGTACATGTCATTTTTAAGAAAATATATAACATTAACTTCAACAAAATCAAAGTACTCTGCATGTCTAAAGGCTATTGTGAACATCTTTTAAGAACTTTTAAATTGTAATCATTATTATTGTATGATTTCTTCAATATTGCTGCAGTTTGGGTGTTGATTAGGAGGTTCATCTCTTATTCTTTTCCAAACTCTTGCATTTTTCAAGAAATATTATCAATTCCATCGTTTATAGATTGATAATAAAGTTATTATTAATACTTTTGGTCTATTCAAATGACTTACTTATAATATTAACACACTTTTATCATTTTAGTAACACGGAATGGAAATTGAGCCTTCCATACGGATGTGTTTCGAGATCACTTAGGCGTTGGATGCGAAATGGTTGTCCAGCTGTGCCAAAACATATTGTGGATGTAGGAGAAGTCCTTGGCAACGATGTATGGAAGGAAAGGATGACGTACTACGTGGAAGAAAAACCAAAACAAATTTTGGTAGAAAGCGTCATTGACGAGGACGATCTTTGTCACGTCATCTTTTATTCCCCAGATTTTGTTGCCAAAGTTTTAGAAATTGACATGTCATCTGCCACGGTCGACGGAACATTTAGAACAGTTCCATGGCTAAAAGGAGCTTCGCAAATATTAATAATATCAGTTTTTTCTTTTGGAAAGGTATATATATATATATTTTTTTATATTCTTTTAAAGACAAATGTGCTTAAAAATGTATCTTTTCCTATGTATGTGGGAGGAATTCAAGGTTTATTCTTCCACTTCCCGCCAAAGTGAAGTTTGCTTTTAATAATTCAAAATTAAATAGTTATAATTTTTTGAAATTAAGAAATATTTGTTCCTTTTTCTACTCAATAGTTATATACGGCTTCAAAAATTAAGAAAACTTCCAAGTGAGAAGCATTTTTAATGAAAATTACCTATACTTTCAGCTTAATTTTTAAAGAATCCTAAATATCTAAAGACTTTATTCAGAGCTACGTTCATCGAGTTAAGTATCTATTCAGGATAGCCAAAATATTTTGATGTCAAAGATTAAAATGCTTAACGTCCGAGAAGTATATTAATTAGAAGGTTTCGTATGAATGAAACGATAACATTCAGACCATTGTTGTTTTAATAATAGTTTACTCCAACGTTTCGAAATCTAAATGATTTCCTCTTTAGGGAGTCTATCAAAATTACAATAAATTGTCAAATAAACAAATACAAAAAATAGATTAGATTTCGAAACGTCGGAGTAAACTTTTATTAAAATAACAATGGTCCGAATGTTATCGTTTTATTCATACTAACCCTTCTAATTAATTTGATTTCGTCTTTCTCTGAAATTTACATGATTTCCAGATAAAATTTTGACCTTTACCCTGAATTCTCTAAAAAAAAATTGAAACAATTAAAAATAAAATCAATTACTGTATCAAACATTTTTTGATTACTTATATAAATTACAATAAAATTCATTAAAATCTCCATCACTCTTAACAGAATTTAGGGAATTTCAATCATTATATTATTCTACATAATTTCAATTACTTCTTTATAAAATTTCAATCATTGTCAATTCAATTAACAAAAAAAAAGAGAGTTGAAATATTTCAGGAAACAAAATTTCTAGAAGTTTAAGTAAAATTTTTCGAAAAATCTATTAAAAAAATTTAATTCAAATCTTTGTAAAATTTACTTATAAATAAAAACTTTTATGGTAATTCTTTGTAAAAAGAGTAAAACCTATTCAACTTCTTACCAATTATTGCATAAAAGTTTTTTGAAAATTTAATTTTTTTCAAATGTCTAAGAAAATTTCACTAAATATCAATAAATTCAATAATTTCTTAACAAAATTTCTGTAAAAGTTCAAGTATCTCTAAACAATAAAATTAGAATTTGCAATTTTTTATAATTTAAAAAAATCGTTTAAAACTTAAATAATTTTTAAAATAAGTATTTAAACAAATTACATTATTATTTTTAAAAAAATTTCACAATTTTAGTAATTTAGTAATTTTTTAATAATATTGAAATAATTCAAGTATTTTTAAACAATTGAGTTAAAATTTGAAATTGTTTTAGAATTTTAAATAAAATTATCTAAAACTTGAATTAATTTTTTAAAATAAGTGTTTAAACAAATTGTAGCAATTTTAAGAAAATTCCACAAAATTTCAATCAATTTCATTATTTTGCAATAAAACTTATTATTAAAATTCAAGTATTTTTTAACAGAGGAATAAACATTTCTTTGAAGAACAATTTATTAAAAATATCTTAAAATAAACATTTTCAATTATTATTCGTTTTTTATAGAAATTGAAATTTTTGAGAATTTTAGTTTAATTAATATCTTCGAAATTTATAATTATTTTTGAAAATTGGGATTTTTTCAAACTAACATTTTTATAACTCATAAGAATTAATTATCCTAAAAAAGTGATTCCAGGATTTAATAATTAAAAATAAATTTAATTGTTTATAAAACTAAGCAAAATTTAAGGCCTTGTTTTAAAATTTATTACTATTCGAAAATTTTTAAAGTTTGTAAAATTAAGTAGGAGAAGTTGAGGTTTTTATATTTTTCAAAAATATATTTTTGATACCTAAAGCAGTTATTTCCTGGTAATTTTAGAAAGCTACTTTTTCAGTACTTTTGAAAAAAATTCCCTAGATTTTCTCAGATTTTCCTGACTTTGTAACAATCCTGTCATTGGAAAAATTTAAATCTTTCTTCAATTTCCCCAGCCGAAGTTTTGATTCTCTCAAAATGTCGATTTTAGAAAATCTTGAGAAATCAAAAGAGAATCTTATACTCAACGGAGTTTTGATTCTCTAAAGGTGTAGATATTACCATTTCTTATCTTTTTGCTTGTCTCTTTGATTCTCTATAATTCTCTGCTTTACAACTAAAACTACTTTGATGTTTATTCCTAATGCTAGTATTAAAGAAATCCTTTCCTTTAATTCTGTGTAATCTAACACTTTGTTAAAAATTATAGAAGACACATAATGGCTGTTCAATCCCTTAACAGAATCTGAAACTAAAAATTAATTGTATTACCGATTTAAATTATAATTACAATAAATTTTTCTAAATTTTCAAAGATCCACTTGTACAATTTTCATACAAAATTATTTCTAATCAACTTTTTCTTAATATTCAATTAATTTTTGTGTTTTTTTGTTTAAATTCACTAGACAATTATTGTATGGAATTTTAATAATGGTTTTCATAGTTTTCCTAGGATGAAATAAAGATATTGTAATTATTTATAATTTTCATATACATTTCTAAAAACAATAAAACTTACTTCCCTCATTTTTTAAAAATTCTCTAATCAATTCCAATTATTACTTCCTCTTAAATAATAATAACAAAAAGTTAAGTAATAATTATTTAACAAAACAAATCTATATCCAAAATAATTTTGGGTGGGGGAAATTGCACAACTGAGGTTTTCAAAAGATGAAATCAATCTTAATTATAGTTTTATTTGTTGTTATAAATAACTTTTCAGTTTGAGGTTCATGACAATGAGTTAAACATCCTTGAATGTTTCTTTAAGAAAATTAAAAACTATATGAATATATTTTCTTCATTTGCTTAAAATTTTGTAATAATTTGGTTTGCAAATAAATTGCAAATAGAATTATTCTAAATTAGAGAATGAAGAGAATCAAACAGAGAACCAACAGAAGATCAAGGTAGAATGAAAAGAGAATCAATATAAGTACTTACAATTAGAATCAAGAAAATCGAATATTAATCAAATATGAATTTTAAGAGAATAAAAAAAACCACTAGAGAATCAAGAGATTCAAAGGAGAATCGAATCTTTGACTTGAGTTAGGTTTTCAAAATGTTGAAAAATCAAGACTTTTGCCCTCTTTTTTAAAGAAGGTTTTTTTATATTTATTTTATTAACAAATTTTTTCCATTAGTTGAAAATAAAAATCTAATGAATCCTTTGTATTGTTGACACAAAAAAAAATTATCCTATCACATTATAAAAATTTTTAGTCTTTAATTACTTTCTACATCTGAATTAGTAAGAATTCTCACCAATTTGAATTAGGGACTCACTTTTTACTATTGAATTGAATACTAATTATTAGTAAACGTTACTAATAATAATTAATAAGATAATACTAATTCAATAATAGAAAGTGAGTCACCAATTCAAATTAGTAGAAATTCATACTAATTCAGATTTAGAGAGTAAATGTGTATATAAAATGGAGAGTTTTCAATAATTATTACAGAACAGAAGTAGACCTTGCATACTGGATCTTTTACTTTGATGAATTGTGTTCTTTAAATATTTTTTATTGACTGAGGAAGTGAAAGTTTTTATTGATATTGCCTAATTATTCTCATTATATTCTTACAATATTAGAATGTTGAAAAACTGCTGCATATATTGCTCCAAAGTTAGGTGCTCTGTTGGTTCTAAACTTTTAATTAATATTTTACAATAAATAATAGAAATTTTAACAAAATTCCTCTCATTTCATGGTGATATTCATTATTCAAAAACTATTTCTATAAGGAGTTATAATGTTATTTATAAATAAAAGTGCAAGGATTCTGATTGAAATATCATACAATAAAATAGAAATTGATAATGCATGACATAATAAAAAACATTTGTTTCAGATTACTCCCTTGTTCTATGCTATTATGAGCTCCAAATCGTTTCTTGCGTATAGAGTTGTAGTTCGCAAGATTCAAGAACTAGCTCCATCTCTGAATATAGAGAAACTAACAAGTGACTTCGAAACTGCGATAAGAAAAGCGTTTTTAGAAAATTTTCCAGAATTGAAAAAAATTATTGGATGTTATTTCCATTATCGATACGTAAGCATGCTATGTATTACTAAAGTTTTAAGAATATATAATATTTTATAAAAGAAATTCATTCATTCAAAATTTTTTCTTAAGATATGCATAAATGATTAATGCAATTTTCTTTATCTAGAACATTGATAAGCAGATCAACTCCTTGGGTCTGCGGCCCTACGTGAACGCTAATGAAACAATATTGGCATTTACAGAAAAAATAAAATATTTGGCCCTTTTACCAGCTGAGGACATCGTGGAAATTTTCAATTTTCTGGTTGAAAGCCTTCCAAGAAATGAAAAAATCGTAATTCATGAAAACAGCACAGATTATGTTTCCGTGAAGGAGTTACTCGATCCTCTGATATCTTACTATGAAAGGATTTGGCTCAAGCAGATTACGCCTCAAGTCTTTTCTGTGTACTTGGAGGAAAGGAGGACGAATAATGACACCGAGCGAAACAATCGCTCATGGAATGAATTTATGGGTTGTCATCCTAACCTTGTTATTTTTCTAGGTAATTATTATATTATATTTTAATCATAACAGCAACAGATATTTCAGGAGATCTCACGGATGTCTTTAGTATATTGTTTTCTGATCCCAGGAACTCAAACATCACATTTTTATAAATATCTTGAGTTTTATAAGAGCTAAAGGGAAAAATTTGTTTTTAATTATAGATCTCATTGGTCAGTTATTGTAACACATAATAACTGGTTTTTGAACCTTATTCATCAAGTTTAACTATTACCTTTTCTCGTTTTAAAATTTTTCGAAAATCGTTTTTTGCAAATAATTTGAAAATAATGTTCCGAGACCTGTAAGTGTTTTCACTTAGTTTTGTAGGGCGTTTTAAGACGCATCTTTTGACCCCTTATTGAATTAATTCCGATAATATTAGCCAAAATTATTAACATTTTAAAACAAAAAATTTGGAAAAAGTTTCTTTTTCGGTTTTTAATTCAACTTTCAAATCAATTCAGATTTAATTGTTTTTATTTTTCTTCAAGTTTATACTCCTTTTTGAGGCGCATCTTTTTTATTCATTTTTGAACATTTTTTGGATATGTATTAGGGTGGGTCAATTTGCATGGTCAGATTTTTTTCAACAATGTTTATAGCAATAGAGTAATCTAGAGATAATTCTGAGTAAAACTTCTCAAGTAACCATAGCTCTAAATTGAATTTCGAACCTCCGAAACTTTATAAATAGATATTTTTTAATAAAAATGAATTTTTGAAAATAAAATCGTCATGATATCCGATAAATTTTCAGTAGACTATTCAAAATAAGTTTGTTGGCAATATATATTTGCCATCTTTTAAAATTGCTATAAATTATGGGTTTTTTTTAACATTTTGGAGAAGATAGCAGTTATTTATACTAAAAATAGCTTAAATTTATTTTGAACTAAAAAATCATCATTTTTTTATTACTTCTTTTTATGAAAACATATTGTAACTATTCATATTTATTCTGATTTTTATTTTACCATATCTAGAGCAGGAATTTTTCAGAAACTCGAAAATTGGAATAATGTTTGAATTGATTTTGGTAATTTCAAGCAACTGTAAATTTGTAAGACTAAAAGTTCAAATAGTTATGTAATCCAATTTTTATTTAATACACGAATTAAATATTTGTAAGACATTAAGGAAATTATTATTTTTTAAACGAAATACCTAAATGTTCAGATTAAATGTTAATTTGATGGAATAGCTAAATGTTCGAATGTCTTTTTCATCAGATTTCTAAAAGTTTAAATGTTAATTTAATAAAAAAAGATAGAAAAGAACGAATTTGTATTTCTTTTAACAAATAATTAAATGTTCGAATGTTTATTTAATCGAAAATAGTACTGCAATTATATCCACAAACAAAATTGAAAGTAAACTCACTTAAGAAACAAAATTCGACCAAATGAGAATTCTAACATTTGGAGATAGAATGAAATAAATATTATAACTTTTGTCTATGATATTAGTTCCGCCTATTAGTTTCTTGGTATTAATATTCGAACTCTTGGCTTTTCGATTAAATAAACCTAGGAATTTTTAATTTTTCAATTAAATGGTGTTTCGAATAATTAAATATTGGTTTAAACTAATATTCAAAATTTTGGAAATTCGATTCATTAAATATTTGTTTAAATAAACATTCTAAGATTTAGATTTTAATTTAATTAACATTTTAATTTTTAGAAAGTCGACCAAGTAAATGTTTGATTTAAGTATTCGTTTGAATAATAATAATAATTTCATGAACGGCCCCGAAATTCGTTATTCGTTGAAATGAACATTCGAACTGTTGAAAATTCGATCAAATAAACTGTTGAACATTCAAACTTTCATAAATTCTATTTAATAAATATTCGAATATTTAGGTATTGATTCAAATAATAATAGTTTTATCACGTGTTAGTAATTTGTTATTCGTTTATTAAACTAAAATTCGAACATTTGAAAATTCTATCAGGTAACTATTCGAACTTTTAGTCTTTCAAGTTTCTAGTTGCTCGACATTGAAAAATTCAATCCAAACATTATTCGAACTTTTGAGTTTTTGAAAAATCCCTACTCCTGATTTGAAAAATAAAAATTAGAGTAAATGTAAATTGTAGTTTGTCCTTTTTCTAATTTTAATATATTAAATTCAAAATGAGATACAAAAAGAGAAGGTCGAGTTTTAAAAATATTTTTGTGACGCTCTATGAAGAAGAAATATGTTTTCATAAAAAGAGGTGATAGAAAAATGATGAATTTTAAGTTAAAAGTAAATTTTATACTATTTCTATTATTAATAACTACTATCTTCTCTAAAACGTTAAAAAAAACTCACCAATTTATAGCAATTCTGAAAGATGGCAAGTATACCCTACAAACAAACTTATATTGAATAATCTATTGTAAATCTATCGGATTTTATGACGATTTCATATTCAAAAATTCATTTTTACTAAAAAATATCTATTTATAAAATTTTAGAGGCTCGAAATTCTATTTAGAGTTATTATTCTTTGAGCAATTTTACTTACAATTATCTCTATATTACTCTTTTGCAATACGCTTTATCAGCAAAAAATTTGATACACCCTAATATGAATTCCAAAGTTATTGACATTTGAAAATATTAGAAATTTAAAAAAAAAAACTTTTTGTGGTTCTTTTTATATTAAATAAACAACAATATATGACACCCAGTGGGCATGGGGACATAGGATGTCTTTAGGACGTCCCTTGGATATCCCTAGGATGTCCATGTCCGTTCGAAAGACGTCCTGAAGACATCTTATGTCCAAAGGACGTCTTTAGGACATAATATGTACTTGGGACGTCTTTGGAACGGACATGGACATCCTAGGGATGTCCTAAAGGCATCCCATGTCCCTGTGCCCACTGGGCAATAATGCAATTTATAAAATTCATGAAATACTATATTTTTATGAGGAAGCAAACCATAACAGCACGGATATTCCACCATATCCTACGGTCGTTTCAACTTTACAGCGGTTTTCTATATTAATCAATATCAGACAATGTTTAAAACAACGTTTTTAATTCTTTCGACTCTTTAAAGGTATTAAAAAAGTAAAATTAAGATAGGCCAAGATTCTCAAATATTCGCAGCAAAACTGTATTGTTGAATAGATCCATTTTTATTCTTATTCTTATTCGATCAACTTATACAAAGAAATCAACTTATTTTTATTGTTCTTCTTTTCAGCTAAACTTGTACTTCTAATAAAAGATACCGACCTTGATCATGCGGAAAGAACCAGAAATGGTGTCTCTGTACGTAGACTCAGTGAAGAAGAGAAACGCACGGAGAGAATTATAAAAGGTGGATGGAGAATTATTAAAGAGCTAGAAAATTGTACTTTTCGTGAGAGGCGCACAAAATTATTAGAATTTCTTCATTGTTGTCGCAGTATAAATTATTATTTCATTGAACTAAACAAGACGCTCTTAACTGGAGGTAATAAAGTACGGTAATTACACTCCAAAAATTGAAAAATTACCATATATTGTAATTTATTCTAAATTAATGTATTTATAGAAGATGAATCACGTTCACCCTCAATAGCTGACACATGCACTGTGGTCAGAAACACTCCATGGGACAATAGAGTGGAGTATGATGAAACTTTTTGGAAGTGCCCTGTCTGCTCCGAACAGATGCAAAATGAAGAGAGTTACTTTCGGCATGTGGAGGAAATGCATGCGCTTCGAAACTGCAAGAATTGTGGTGATATGTACAATTCTCAATCAGGCCATTCACATTGTTGTAAGTACTTTAATTTCTTTTATATTGCAAGGATCACAATTGGTTCTCTTCTTTATCTAATCCCCTTGACCCCTCCCCCCTAAAGTAAAAGAATCATACTGATTTATTATTTAAACTTTTTTCTATGTAATGTTTATTTAAGTTGTGGGTTGGTTTTTCATTTTTTCAACTTTAGGATTACAGGGACAGTTTTTCTAAACAAAATTTTCAGAGATGGTTTTTTCTTTTGAAAGTAAGATATTTTTTTCAAAATCCGATTGAATAAAAATTCAACTAAATAGAAAATTATTTAATACACAATTTGAATTAAAATTAGTTCTCTAATAAAATGTTCAGAAAATTGTTGTATAAAGTCATGTTACTTAAAAATGTAGGCTTAATAAATATTGATTAAATTCTCCATTCTTATTTTAATATTTTTTGGTAAAGAGAATTGGTAAATAGAGTAGTTCCAATCAAAATTCTTAAAAATTTAGGAAAATTAAAATTCTATTAATTAAAAATTTAACATAATAAAAATTTTTAAAAACATCAGATTATATTTACATAATTTTACTGATAAATGTAATAGCACTACAGATGCCATCATTAACAACAACAGATGCAGACATTCCTATTAGGCCCAGTAAGTGTAGTGAAAATTTTACGTATATAATTTTTTTTGTCTAAATTCGTTTTGTTATATGCGGATAAAGATTTGAATTTTTTATTTTTCAGTACCTGAAACATCAATTCGTCGACCACATCGACGAAGGCCAGGTAATTTTTTAATACAATTATTTTAATGTTAACAAATTAAAATAGAGACTTCAAATCACTAACAATAGATATTTTCTTTTAATCGTAGTTCAAAAAAAGTACAATTCTTATCCACCCGTAGGACAAATAAGTAAGTATAAAAAATTTGCATTTGTATTGAATTTATAATTAATGTATTTAAATTCAATTAAAACAATTTATTAAATAATAATTGTTTTAGAATCAATAAAACGGACACTAACTCCGGGTGAAAAGAAGGCGAAGAGAAGAAAAGCAGAGAGGGCAGTAGTAAGATTAGAGGCGACAAAAAGAGGTATTTAAAAAAAAGAAAGGCAATTATTTCTAAATATATTGCAAATAAGTAGTACAATGAAATATTAACACATATTTCACAGTGGTGAGAAAAGCAGCGAGAATCCCCCAGGTCTCGATAGCTTCTCCGGTAATGGAAATAACACCAAATGCAGCAACATCTACCACAGCTACATTACCACCTTTAAGCGTTGCCGAGATGCAAGTGACGAGGCCAAAAGGAAAACCGAAAATCATTTCCGTGACTTCTTTTCCTAGTACAAAACGTAAGTATAAAAAAATTCCTTACAGTTGTTACATTAAAACACATGTAAAGGGAACACAGTTTACTTCCTTTTTCAAAAATGTGTAATATACCTTTAATATTATTAGTTTTTTCCTTCTTTTTAATTATCCTAATTAAAAATTTTCTTCGATATTTGATATACAATAAAAAATAATTAATCTTTAGATACAAAAAAATATTTTATAACAAAATTTGAAGTTAAAAAAATAGTAAACAAATATTTCGTTCATTTAAATGATAAGATCTTTATTAGCATATATAATAGAGCATTATTATGTTAATGTAATACTTCATATTATGAGGTGACATCTTGTAATAGCCAGTAATATCCTGTATTAGTTCTCTAATACTCTGTAATACTTGAATCTTCGTGTAATAGAAGGAAAATAATATATATTGGAGTGTACTCGTTTTTAATAAGTAATTACCCCCTCGGGAAATACGAAATGTTAAACACTGCTACATAAAAATTAAAAAATGATATTTCTTTAAATAAAGTCTTTCTATGTTTTTAAAATTGCAATTTTTAAATAAAAAATTCACTTTTTCAACCACTGAAATTCCTTTTTTTTAACTCAAATAAGACAAAAAGTAAATTGTGATTCTTATAATTAACGGATAACTTTTAAAAGATACATTTTTTTCAGCGGCATTGCAAATAAGAGCACTTAAAAGAACATAACCATGTGGTAAGTATAACTTCTTATAACTTCTTTAAATTATTCCAAACAAATGTATAAATATGTAAATTATTAATTTTTTCAGCAGCCTTAAGGATTCCAACAACTGCCGTGTAGGAGTAACGAAACTTAAATGACAGTTTCAGAATATACATAGAGAATTTACTTTTTTTATTACTGTTTTATAATTATGTTAATTACTATATTTTATATAAAAAATTTAATTTTAATTACAAAAAAAGATGTAAAACTTTTATTTTTGCTTTAACAAAAAATAAAAAATTGTTTCTAAATTTTATGCAATGTTTGTCTTTTACAATGTTATTTCTTTACAAAGAATGATTTTTCTTTTTTTCACATTTCTCATGATATATAAAATTAAAAATACCAAAAAGGGATGGAAAATTATCTTAATTATCCAAAGAAACAAAAAATGTTACAAAGTTCAATCATATTTTCCTTTAAAATTGTTATTTCATGCAAAGAGAACCTCAGGTTTTTATTTACCCAGGATAAATAAAAGTAAATATCTTATAATATCATAAAAGAGATTGATAATTTTCTAGTAAATTAAAAAAATGGAAAATTGTCTCCAAACTTTTTAATATTTATCTTAAAAATTTCATATTCTGTATAATTTTTTTTAGAAAAATTTCATTGACAATTTTTCTTGTCTCTTTGCAATACACAGTGGTATATAATGACAAAATTTGATTCAAATTGATTTTCAGACCACAATTTTGTACCAAATTAAAAAATTCCTTAATGTAAAATGTGAAACAAAATTATTTTTTAAACTTTCTAAACCATTTTGAACAAAAAACTTTTAATATAATTTAGTTTTATAATATTATATAATAATCGTAAGTTTCCTTTTCCGTTAGCAGATTTTCTGCCTCATTTGACTGTTTTGAAAATCAATTTTTGTGAATTGTCATTTTTTATTTTGCTAAACTTCAAACTTTTCAACCTTTGAATTTTGAAAGTTGGTTCTATTTTCATAAATAACTAAAGCACTTTTTTTTGAATTTTGAAAATTTTCTCTATTTTTATGAAAAATTGCAGCATTTTTATTTAATATTGAAATTTATTCAATTTTCTGCAACTATTTTAGTTTTAAAAAAGAAGTAATTTTTTAATTCTAAAAGTTATATGTAATAATTTTTTCTATTCTTTAGAATAATCAAAATTTTCGTAATGAAGATCATTTTTAATTTTGAATATATTTTGAAAAAATGAAATAACAATTTTTAATTTTTAAATTCAAAAAATTTTTTATTAAATTTTCCTGCCACAATAAGAAAGTTTAATAACAGTATTAATAGTAAAAAAAATTATCTGATTCACTTGAAATTGGTTTCCAATTTAGAATTTGACGTTAAATTTCAGAAATTCAAAATACAGCATTCAAATTAACAGATTTTCATTTAATTTATCAGATTCGATGATTTTCGATGTGATTTGAAATACAATTTTTAAATTGGATTCGACATTTTAAGTTTCGAAACTCTGAAATTCAAAATTTAATTCTATTTTTTTTCAATTATAGAGAAGAATTTAATTACAATTTTTGACATTAATCGAATTTTTACGAAGATTTTTATTATTTATTACTGAAAATAATGAAAAAGTAATTGAATTCTTTCATGAAAAACTTAATCATGAATGATTTATATTGACAGTTGATCCTTTTCTTGTATTTTCATTTCAAAAATTTCAAACAAAACCTACAATTTTTTCCTTCTAAGGTCCCTCACTTCAGATCGCTTCACATTTAATAATTAGTGCAATACAAGTAGTAAAAAAAGTTTTCATCCTTGAAAATTATTATTAACAAATTATATAAACATAATTAAAGTTGAGTGGAAGTTATGTTTAAAAACAATTATTTTTAATAAATTCCCTTTGGATTAATAAATTAATAATAATAATCATTGTCTTTAAAATTTTATTTTATTATAAACAAATTATATACATAAACAATCATATTTATCAAACATTTTTGAGAAAAAATTTATCGTCTTTTTTATTAATTAAGATTCTATAATATATATGGTGCTTATTCTAGTAAAAACAATGGTTTGCTTTAATTTTTCTTAATTTTTTAAAATAAATAACATCAACAATAATTAAACTTGACTAAAAATTATAGAGAAAAGATATACTTACTTCAAGAACGTATTTTAAAGTAAAATAATTTGTAACCAAAAATGTTTGATAAATATAACTATTTGTATAATTTGTTTGTAAAAATAATAAATAAATAAAATAATATTAATAAATAAAAACATAATAAATGAAATAATGAAAAAAATTCTCCTTGTTCTTTTTTTTAGTTCTTTTGGTAAAATTTTAAATTTAAACAAAGAAAATTTGTTTACATCACATGAAATAATGAAAACCATCAACCATTAAAAAAAACACTTTATTTTCATAAACAATATACTGCATTATTTTATTAATTTGAAAAATAATTTTGCAACATACAAATAGAAAGTAAATAATTAAAAATGTTTTATTTAGTTACTATTATTCAATATGATAAAAGCTAACCTTAAAAATAACATATATTTATAACACTAAACTTTTTATTTTATCCTCTATAAAATTTTGATTTATCAATTAATTCACTTAATTAATTTCTTTAATTATACATTAAATTAATATTACTAATGTTTATTCAAAATGTTTAAACACGAAATTTTCTTATATTTAAATTATTTCAAGTTATTTTTAAAAATAACTAATAACAGATAAAACACAGAAATATTAAAAAGTCAATTATTTCTTAATTAATTAATTTCTTTTTTTATATTATGTAAACTATTTATTTATTATCACATAAAAAATTCATACTCGGCAATCTCTCAAATGTCAAACTTTTATGTACACAAATCCACTAAAGGAACCAGCAACTCCATCTCTCGAGCTTTTCGACACTCAATTTATAACTCTACACTAACTATAGCAAAGTGGTGAATTTGGCAAACGGTGAAAATGACAGGTGGCGACTTTGGACAGTTACCAGATCTACCCCCACCCTCCTCCTCTACAGTACTCTCCTTCTACAATGCTGAGCGCCTCCACTGCCTTCCGCGGTCACCCCCTCTTCTCCTCCGCCGCTTGCTTCAACGATGCTGCACGCCTCGACTGCCCTGCGCTGCTATCCCTCTTTTCCTCTCCACCAAGATATCTCTGCTTGCCGACTGCTTCTGCTGCTCCTTCCGAGTTGCTCCAAGAGAATGCTGATAATGTCACTACTGTGTCCAACCCTTCTTTATATACCAAATCTCACCGATACACACACTCACATGTGCGACTTGCGCGCCACTTAGACATGGTGACTATACATAGTCACTTGTCCACTTGGTCGGTAAAACAGTTTCCTACCTTGCCGACCGAGGTAAAATTCATGTCAGGGATCTACATTACCGACTGCTGATAATGCAGAAATCTACATTACCGACTGACGATAATACCGACCGACAGTGGCGCCATCTAGTGGCAGCCGGCAGAACTAATATCTACATTACCGACTGTGGGTAAATACCGACCGGCGGTAAGCGACAGTGGCGCCATCTAGCGGCAGCCTTAGGTACTAATTCCTGAGAGTGACATAGTTATACTACTCATAAAAGTCTAAATTGTCTTGTTATTGTTGTCATTATGGATAGAATTCTGGTAATGTTTTGTAACTTTCTAAAAAAAACTTATTGTTCTTGATTCAGGCTTTCTATATAAAAGTCAGTTCTTCAGATGATAATTGACTGATACCACATCCACACAAAAAAAGTGCCCGGGTTGAAAGATCACAGTACTCTACCCCCATGTATTTTGAAAACTTAACTTCAGATTTGTAATGAGCGGCCCCTAAAACTCTCAAGTAACAAATTCCATAAAAATCTAACAATTTTTAAAAAAATTTCTAAATAATCATTGATCAATTTTTAAAAAAATTGTATGCCACCAAAAATGTGAAATGTTTTTTGAGGTTAGGAAGAAACATACAAGTGCATGAGCAAAACGGACTTCAGATTCGTGTTCAGCGGCCCAAAATACATGGGGGTAGGGTACCGTGATCTCCCAACCCGGGCATTTTTTCTTTTGTGTGCCTGTGTTGCATAATTTTTACTTGAAATTTTTTCGGTATTATAAATACAAAAAAAAAAAAAAAATTTCTTGATATACATTCAGAAGCAGAATTTTGTCAGCTTTACAACCATCTAAGTTAGAATTCTCTTACTTTTTTCTAACTTAAAATATCTTGCTTTAAAGTCCGCACCGAATTTCCACTCCTCGCACTATAATCGTACCGACAATTTCCGACGATAGTGTATACCAGTCAAAACGTTTCGTGTAGACGGCAAACTAGAAAATAAAGAAAATCATTTTTTGATCTTCTTTGATTTTATGAAAGAGTAGAAGTAGAAATACCAGCCTCTCTAGAGAATCAAAGGAAAATTCCGAGGGGGAATTTATTCTGGTAGTCAAGTGTACACTTGCCTGGTAATACTCGGTAATACCTGTAATATCTGTAATGTCTGTAATATTTTGTAATGTCTTGTAATATTGTGGTATTATGTTCTAATATCTTAAAATTTTTTTTTTAAATCAAACCAAAAAATGTTAATATAAGTAAAAATTATAACACTTGTTCAAATGTAGCGCGGGAGTTAATGCTGAAGTATAGCAACTTTGCCATTGAATGTTTACAGAATCAAATCAGAAGATGGTTCTTTAGTAATTGGCCGAATTTTAGCTTTTAGCTACCTTACCGGAATAGGTAAAAAAATCGAATACAGTAAGAAATCTGCTCCTGTAATTACACCGAAACAAAATGCACGAGGCTTAGGTTGTTTGTGTTCGTGGTTTAAGATAGCAAAAAACAAAATATTAAATGTTAAATAAACATGGATGCTCACGGATATTATAATATAGAAAATTATATTTGTTCAGTTCCACGTCCAAAGTTAAAAACAAATAAGTTATATTTATCGTGTTCTTTAAAAGAAATTTAAAAACATTTGAAATAATATTGTTATTTACGTTTTAAAAAAGAGAAATTTATTATTTTCTTTTATAAGTATGGTAAATGCACTAATTGCGGAGCGATTCGAGTCGAAACACCATTGAAATAGAAAATTCGACATTTCTATTGT